CGCACAAAGCATGGAAACAGGTTTTCCTGAGGATGTCCAGGCAAGGAACTGCCTGCACACGATATAGCCCAAAAGCCAGCCCTAACACCGGCATCCTTGGATATTCCGGAGGAGGGAGAAAAAGCCCATGGGGCTCTTCGGTGCACACTTTGGAAAATGAGTGCCTAACGCCTCCTCCTAGGGAAAGGGCCTTCCCAGAAAGGGAGGAAAAAGGAAAGGCAAAAGGAAGGCTGCCGGGAGATGGAGGGGAGCCAAGTCTCGCAGACCAGACCTGAACCTGTGACCTTCCCCGTGTACACATCGGGCGGAGGAGCGCACGGCAAGAGTGCTTGCCCCGCCGGCCGCCCCAGCCCTCGTGGGACACCCGGCCACGTTGTCACCGGTGGGGTCACCTCCAGATCGGCCCCGCTGGCCAACGGGGACTCGAAGGACTTGAAGGAGAGCGGCTCGTCCTGCGGCTCCCGGCCGCCGGCACACGGCCCGGCCCCAGGGGTGATGCCCGGAGGGGGCTCCGCTCTCGAGGTCTGACCCGCCCCAAACTCACAGGGACTCGCTAAACGCAATGGGGAACATCTAATCTTCCGGGACTTGTGCCGAGAACCCCCTACCGGCACTACAAAAGAGCTGGGGTTCAGGGAACCTCCGCTCTCGCTGTCCCTCTGCTCCCGTACCCCCCAAACCCTCCCCGTACAGAGACGGGGGTCAAGAGGGGTGACCCCCGCCTCCGCCCAGGAACACCGCTACCCTCTCGGGAGCCCACTTCCCAGCCTGCATCACCCCGCGCAAGCGGTGGCCCCACACAGGGGACACCCCCTCCCTGAAGCCGTGGGGTCCCCAGGACCCTGAGCGCGACCCCCGAGGCGGCCTCGCAGCCCTCGGGGGGTCCCGACCCCCAACGGCCGCAGCACCCGCGGGGGTTCCTTCCCAACGGCCTCGGGAGGGACCCGCAACCGCCCCCGCGGCCACGGCGTGGGGGGGACGCAGACCCCACGCGGACCCAGTGGCCCTGGGGGGAGGCTCCCGGAGCTCCATCCCCACGGCCAGAGATGAGGAAGGGGGAGGCACGTATCCTCGTCCTCGATGGTGGCAGGGCTGGGGCGGGGGGGGGGCACACAGACTCCCCAGGGGTACGGGGGCGGGGGGGGCACAGCCCCATTCCCAGGGGTCACGGGGGGGGCGCTGAACCTCCCGTTCCCAGCGGTCCCGGGGGAGGGGTACCCAGAACCCCGTCCGTAAGGGTCACGGGGGGAAGGCACAGCCGCGTTCCCGGGGGTCACAGGGAAGAAGGGGGGAGGGCACATATCCCCGTCCCGACGGTCACGGCTCACGACGGCGGCCCGGGCCCAGCCCGTGCGGAAGGGGCGGGGGGGGCGGGAGGTGTCCGAGGCCCGAGGGGAGCCCCCAACGCCGCCCCCCTCCCCCCATTCACCCCCCACCCCCACCCCCGCCCCGCCGCCGTGGCGCGGGGCCAGCCGGGCTCGCACTCACCCGGTCGCTGGGGTATCCGCCCTAGGTGCGTTCCATGTGGGTCGCGCCGGGGCCGGCGCTGCGGGCCGGGGCCGGGGCCGGGCCGGGCCGGCCGGGGCCGCCACGCGCTGAGGCCGCGCCGCGCAGGCCGCGCCGGGTCCGCCGGGCGGGGCGGGGCGGACGCGCCGCAAAACGCGGAGGGCGGAACGTGGAGCGGCGTCCCCGGCCGGAGGGAAAACACGGAGCGGATCCTCCGCCTGAAGGATCGGGAGCCGGAGAGAGACAAAGCCCGGAGCGGAGTATTCCCTGCCTTAGGAGCAGGAGCCCCCGTAGCGCCTCCTCGGAAATGGCTGGGGGAATCTTTTGGGGGTGTTTCACTCTCTGAGAGGCGTCGTGTGAGACCTCAGCCCGGCCCGGTACCCCCAAGGCCGCGCTTGTAGCTCCCTGAGCCAGCACAGAAAGGCAGGGAGCGGGAGTCATCACCTCCCCGGGGCATCCACACCTACCTCAAAATCCACTACATTGTGCCCCACGCTGCCACTTTTCCTTTCCAAACACTCTTCTGGATGGAAAGAGCACCTGGGTCTTCAGCCGTTCTCATGTCCTGGAGGTGACATGTCACCTAAACTCTCTAATTCCCACCCAAAGCCTCAGCACTGGCCCTGCAGACCTGGAAGGAAAGTCCAGCTCACCTCAACCCTGGCTCCTGGACAATCCAAAACCTGCATTCCTTTTCCCAAAGCCTCAGCATCAGCCCCACTGTTTGGTGAGGAAATTTCGGTTCACCTCAGTGGAGATGTCCTAGTCCTGTGTCCGTGACACCCCAAACCCTGGCAGGTGAATCAGTGTGGCAAGCTGTGCCAATGGGAGATGGGATGCAGGATCCCAGCTGGCATCTGTCAGCGCTGAGCACGGAGCAGGGACATGCAGGAATCTGCAGATGGAGAGGGGAGCACCAACTCCATCTACCCAGACAGGTTCTGCTATAAGTATTCCAGCCTGAAGAGGTGCCACTATTCCTTGAGTGTGCCACCATCCAGTGTGGTTTCAGGAGAGCACCATAAGAGAAGCCAATTTCTTCTGATGCTTTTTGCCCCAAATAAGGACAACACAAGACCCAAATCCCTGGCAAAGGAGGCGATACCGAGAAGGCCAGAGGTTTGGGTGTCTCACCGGCTTTTGGGGCTGGGGCAGGTGGGAGGGAGCCAGAAGATGTTTAAAGCAATGGGAAAAGAGGGATGAGAATTCTTAAAGCCCAAAAGAGAGAAAGAAGAGAAATCCTTCCATATCCTGACAAGGAGAAACTGTTCTCACACAGCACAGAGCCAATGCTGGCAGGCTCCAAGACAACCTGTATTAATAAAACCAAGTCAGTTTTTACTGAAGTATTTTCAAGGATTGGGTGAAAGGTTTTATGGGCATTTGGTGTTGATGTTCAGCAAATCTCAGACCAGGAATGGTGCTTCCAAGGGTGGAAAAGCCAGCATCAGACAGGAACACAGGATGAGCCAGGGATGGGCCAGTGCATCTTTCCCAGCAAAATTGTGATGCCACTAATACAGGAGGAAAATAAGAGCCCTGCCAGGCAAGGCAGCTCCATTGGGAATGACCTGGGCATCGCTCCAACGACATGTTTTGCCATGACCATGAGCAGGGCCCATGATCCAGCCTCCCTGCAGCTGTCAGAGATCCCACAGAATCCTACAGGTGATGGTGGATGTGAAACCCTTAGGGAGGAAAGCTGCAGGCACCAGGTAGATGTGAGTGTGAGTGACAAAGGACAGGGAAGACGACAAGGCAGCAGCCACTCCCAGAGCTGGATGCAGGAGACAGATCTGGTTTAGTATGGAGCCAAATCATGGGCTCATATTAAAGCCTGGCTCAGGCATGGGATGGGTGACCCGTCTGGGCAAGCATCTTGGGATGGGGATTTTAACAGGCACTAGGTGTGATGGGAAGGTGGGATTTTGTGGGGTCACAGAGTCGGTACCAGATCCCACTCTGTCATGATCTTGTCTGATAGTGCTGCACTCCTGGGACAGGAGCTGGAGCTGCAGCACCTGGAGCCAGCCTGGCACCTCCTCCCTGGGTGCTGACTTCCACACCGCCGTGTCCCACCTCTCCCACACAGCCCACAAGGAAAGCCTCTCCTGCCTCCTTCTTCCCAAGGCACCAAGACCCCAGGATGACTCCCCAGGCCCCCCATCCCTCTCCAGCTCTACTCCAAATGGCACCACAGATATTCTCCATCACTCTCAAGGGACACCCACCAAGATAGCAGGATCTCCATGTGAGAAGAGTGCAGGAGTGAAGTCTCTAGGAATCCCAGCACAGCTGACTGGACCACAGTGGTGGGACACAAGGGACAGAGTGGATGGAGGGGGAGATACAGCCAGAGGAGGATGGAAGCAGAATTCCATCACCCTTGGCCACATTGAACAGCAGCTCCCACACCATGAACTCTGTGGCAATCGCAGGCAGCTCAGAGCTGAAACACCCGGATTTTCCCACTGAGGAATAATGGGGGTGGGTGTTGGATCCAGCCCCATCATTTCCAGCACCTCAGAGATCCTACAGACAGCAAAGGGAGCCAAGAGACAACTCCCAGGGCAAATGGCATGGGACAATTTCCAGTGCTTCAGCACTATGAATGCTTTTCACCCTCCTCCTCCTCTCCTGTGGGGCAGAGGGCTGGGACAACCCACACCCAGGGACTGTGCCAAGCAGTTGAGCTGGCAGCTCCCTCTGCATTCCTGGGAAAGAGGAGAAAGGATGCTGGGAGTGCTGGGGGGTCACTCCATCCCCCCCCCAGAGCAGGGTGGGCTCAGGGTAATGAGGAGGAGCTCTTAGCCCATGGCAAGGCAGAGCCTGGAGCGCTGCAGCACGAAGGGATCACAGCCCAGTACGCAGCAGGGCATGATGAGCATGGACACAGCAGTGTGGGGGGAGGCTCAGTGGCAGGGAGTAGAGAAAAAGGCGAAATTCAGCCTATTCCACAGGTGCTCTACACACAGCTGCTGGGGGCAAGGTCTTGGGGGGTGGCTGCTGCTTTGGTACAAATCCGGAGAAGGGTGTAAGGCTGGGCACTCAGCAGTGATTCCAAAGGGCTGGAAGAGCACCTGTGAGCAGGCACAGAGCCCACCCCTAACCCCAAACCTCCCATTCCCACTTGGCAGGGCTCAGGCTCTCTGGCTGTTGGGAGCCATCCCCCTCATCCCCCCAGCTTCTCTCCTCCATGTGTTTGACCCCACAGAGCCAAAAACAACTCAAGGCACTTTTTGGAGAGGGAAATCCTGCCTAAGCCAGGATGGAGCTGGGCTGCCTGCTGCTGGAGAGCTCCCCGAGCCCGCTCTGGGACCTGCTGCTCCTGGGGGTGCCAGTGATTGTTGAACCACATCCTGTCAAGCTCCATCTCCCACGCACCCTCGCGTCTGCAGCACAGGACCTCCCTGGAAGCACGGGGCTGTTGGGCCAGGTCTTGGTAAAAACATGTCTCTTTTAATACTTTAGGGATACAAGAGATAAAGCAATACCTAAAAACAATCTGGGATCAGGGATCCATCTTGCACCTGCTTTCCAGAGCTGAAGAGCATCCTGGCAGCCTTCAGAGGCAGTTGGGTGCTTCATGGGAACCAGTGCTGCTCCCCGGTGCACACCCCACGGCTTTCTGCTTCATTAACCCCTTCTTTGCTCCGCGATGGATCTTTGCATCCAGCTTCCCTGTAAAGAGGGGATGAAAGAAAAAAGAAAAACACAACAAACCCTCATCACTCTTTATTTTTAAATGCTATTTGCAATGCAAATGAGCTGGAGGCAGCGAGGTCTCCTAGTTAGTGTGTTCCTGTCACATCCAATTATCCTGCTTGAGGAGCCAGGCGTTTCCAGCCGCCGCAGCCTCCCTCCGCAGGCGCGACACCGGGGAGCCAGGGGCAAGCGTGTCCAACGTGGCCAGGAGACACCAGAGAGGGGGAAACTCGACAGGAAGAGTAAATTAACATCCAGCACTCTCCTGCCACTACCAGGGGGGAAACTGATCCCCGTGCCTGCCTATGGGATGTGCATCAATACTGGGAGGAGATGGGGGACCGTCTAAGGCAGGACTGGGAACAACAAACCCTCAGCTTGGGATGATGGCACAATGGGCACCCAGCATGGTGGGGACACCTGCTCCATGTTGCCACGTGCCAGGCTGGTGGTCTCCAAGGCCATCTGCTGCCTTTGCCACCAGGGAAAACTCAGCCAGCAACTCCACTGGGACCTGGAGAAAACACTGCCTCTCCTTGTCCTTCACAGCCCTTGGGGGCTTCACTGCCAGCTCTGCTTTCCCACCTGGGAGAGGAGCAGGACACCAGAACACCACGGGATTTTGGGCAACTCCTGCTGAAGAAGGCAGAAGCCAGGCATAGTGATGTGCTCCCTCAGTGGAGTGTCTTTGTCCTCTTCTTCCTGCCTGTAAAAATGCAAGGATGTCCCTGCTCTCCCAGCTCCCAGAGAGGCTCTGCCAGCAGCCAACACTGGTCACCTCCTCTAATGCCAGATCTCCCTAGGACTTGCCTTCCTCCTGCTCCCCTCCATCTTCTCATCCTCTAAATGCCAGCCTCATCCTGTCTCTGTAGCTGGGATCAGAGATAGGGCAAGATACACCAGGCTCCAAAGTTCTACTTCGGCCACTGCTCCAAAATCTGCTGGTAAATGTCCAATTGCCATAAGAAGCAGGTGCTTCACCAGAGAAAATGGCTCCTAAGCAGCCAGTGACCATCACCTTCTCTTCAAGCCAAGAGAACATCCCAACTCCAGTTCAACAAGGATGGTTTGCAGATCACCATGCCACAGATCCACAAACCGAAACGTGGCCTGGAGGATGTTCTGGGAGATCCTTCATCCCCTTGGCCACCCCAGAGAAGACTTTCCCCACCACTGCCTAAGGATGAGGAAAAGGCCCCCTCCTTGCAGTTGCTGTTTCCAGTCCTTGGCATCCAAGCAGGCTGAGCCAGCCCATCCAGAAACAGTGTCAGACCACCCTATCCCAATGCCAGGGGTGGTTTTGGCAAGAGAAAGGCAGCAAGTTCACATTCCCTCTATGCTCTGGTCCCCCAACACCACCTACTGTCATCAGGGCTGTTATATTTCATGTGCCTGCCTGCCTCTCCTGGACCCCAAAAACACTGGGAGGCTCCTCTGCTCCTCCAGCTAGAAAACACGACACAGGTAACCTTTAAGAAAAGGCTAAAAATAAGGCAAAGCCCCAGGGTCCCTTGCTCTTTCTGCTCAATGATTCAAGGCCTCTTGTCTCACACCATGTCCTCTGCTCCTCTGCAATCTTCCAGCTGCTGGCTGTTGGAGAGAGGTTTCTAAGTGATTGCTTCAGGGTAGCTCTGCCTGGATTCAAGAAAATCTCCAATGAGAAAGGGCAATGAGCTTTGTCCTCATGCGCTAAAACTACATGGGGACGTATCTAGGGAGAGCTGTGCTTCCAGATGCAACACTCTTTACCCATCCCTTCCACAAAAACAATCACCCTGGCAGCAAGAAGCATCTTAGGGTTTTTTCCCCATCCACAGGCCACTAGAAACAAGTAATTTGCAACAGAGAAGCATCCGGATGTCACTGTGGTGAGGTCCATGCTGTTATCTGGCGAGGAAAACTGCTCTGGCTTGCCTTCCCAACAGGACAAACTGGCATTTTGTCATGGTTTGAGCCAGGTTTCAAGGAGACCAGGGCAGCCAGCAAGCCCAGGTGGGGATGTGAGCTGGCACCTTCCCTCTGCTCTGCTTCCAGCTGGGAGAATTAAGCTTCTGACTGCCTGGGATGCAATGCCAGCTTCTATTAAAACAGCGCCTTGCGTCGATGATAGGTCAAAGGCTTCCCTGCTCCTTCCCTAGGCTGTCATAAATATCACCCAGACGGACCATGTCCCTTCTGGGAGGTGAACATGCAGCTCCACAGCCCCGCTGTGCTGCTCCTGTGACAGCTCCTGTTGGGATGGAGGGCAGGGAAGGCAGGGCCAGCAGTGGGAGTGGGAGCACAGGCAGCCGCCAGCACAGCCGGCTTCCTTCCAGGCTGTTAGACTGATCCTTCTCCAAGCAGGAAAGTGTCACAACACAAAGGAGATGATGTGACAGATGGGGAGGGGACTGGCAGCACCTGCACCCGGCAAGGCAGATAGATGCACAGGAGCCACAAAGTGGCTTCACCCTCTTCCACCCATGGCCAGACAGAGGCAGAGGTGGGAGTGAAGGAGCAGGAGAGCCTGGCAAGAGCAAAGGAGAGGTTAAAACAAGGGAAAAAAAGGATGCAGTGGCTGCACCAGCACGCGAGGGCCACAAGGCTGTTCGCCCACAGCCAAGATTTGCATCTGAAATAACTCCTGCCTGCTCACTGACACTCAGAATAACCCATCTAGGGGGAGGACCACAAGTGAGATTTGAGCGCTTGCAGCTCTCCAAGCACTGGTCTCCACTGGCTGAATGCACCTCCCAGCTGCTGCTCAATCAAATGGTTTTGCAGGACATCCCAACACCCAGCTGTGGGAGAAAAGTCCTTCCCTGAGCTGAGAGGGAAAAAAAGCGCTCAAGGCCAACAAAAATAACCCTCTGCTGTGCTTCAAAAAGCCCTTATTAACCAGTCCTGAGAAATGCCAACACTCCTGAGCCCCAGGTACTAGCCCAAGGAGCCATGTGGAAAGGAGGGAGATCACCCAGTTGTCAGCTCTGCTGAATAAACAGCCAAGACTTTTCCTGCTTCTGCTGCTTTTAGCCCGTCAAATTAATTTTTCACATCCCCTGCAAGCACGTGCGGTGCCTTCCCCGGGCTGTGTGCTGGGGAGGCTGCTAATAAGGCCGGAGCTGACTGCGGGCTCCCCAGCTGCCGCATCCCTCCTCCATCCTTTTTATAGCAGTGGGCAGGAATAACTGGCAGCCTGTGGAGGGGCTGGTGGCTCGTAAAAGGGACCAACGACGCTGGCAAGCACAGCGCGGACAGATGCTGCGGCGCTTCCCCGTGCGCCCTGCCAGGACATCCCATCCACCGGCCTGCAGATGGGGAACATCCATCTGGCCCTGCAGCTCTTGCTGCTCAAGCCCTGAGGGGCAAGAGTGTGATTTGGAACCAGGGGATGCCTGGATGTGCCTGGGCATTGCTGCACTGGCTCCTGTCCTGAGCCAGGCTAATGCTGGCAGCAGTTCAGCCACTGACACCACTGCTCTTTGACTCCCCGAGTGCTTGCAGAGGCAGGAAGAAGCATGTATTTAAAAGGAAGCAACATCTGGGGAAAGGGGAACCGAAGACACAAAAAGTATTACAGATGTATTCGAGCCATTAAACAAACACCTCCAGACCAAAGAGCAGACGGCAAAGGTTGGGAACTCATCTGGCAATGGCAAGATGGGGTGGCGAGGGCATCTGGCTCCAAGGGCTGGGGGGGCTTTGGGGAAACTTTACTACTTACAGATTTTGTGTTTTCCTTTGATGGGGAACTTCAGAACCATCTCCTGGGGATTAGTGCAGATAAAGACAAATGGAGACCCAGACTCCTGGCTCAGGTCTGGATACTGTGAAACACAGAGAGACACAGAGAGCAGAGTCAGGACAGCTGCATGGGCACAGAAAGAGCTGAGTGGGCAAGAACAGAGGGATCTAAGCCAACACATGGGCTATATGGAGGCTGTAGCAGCTCAGACCAAACCACTTCAAGAACTTTTAATGAAAAAAACCCCAAACAATTCCAGGTTTGGGTCTTATTCTGCAAGCCCCTTGCTCAGGGTCTTTCCCACCGTGCCTCTGCTGAAGCTTGCTGCCTCTTTGGATCCACTCACCCTGGGTTGTCCCAAACTCCTTTCAGCCTCCTTTAGCACCTTTAGACCTGTGCTACCCCAGTGGTTTCACACTTGATTTAGGCTGATCAGAACCCTGGGAGAGAGGGAGGCAGTCAGGGCCCTACCATCATCAGCCCACCTGTTCACTGGGACTAGCAACGGACAGATCTTCAGCCTCATGCATCCCTGGATTCAGATGACAAGGAACATGAGTATTTCCACTAATCCCTAACTGGTCATGAACAGCACACCAGCACCTCAACCAAACAACCTGCCAAACCCAGCCTTGAAATGACCATCAGAAGAGCGGCCACCACCAGCTGTTCCAGCTACAGATACATCCCCAAATGTTCCTCACAAAACTCAATCAAGGATTTGAGATTTGGAGAGTGTCCTGCTGGGGGAACACGCATTCCTTGATATTTACTTGCATTTAAAGGGTGAGCAACACACCTGCTACATACCAAGATGATGGCTCAGAAGGGCCAGCTCAGGGCTGACTCCATTCACAGTCAATAGAGGGACTTTACCGCACTGAAAGACATGGGGGAAATTTATAGGAAGAGAATAAACAGACTCATAGGCAGAATCATAGAAGCGTTTAGGTTGGAAATAGACCTCTAAAATTGTTTCTCTCATTAGCCATGTGGGGGAAAAGGAGAAAAAAACCCACTCCATGCAGGAAGCACACCAAGATTCTGGCTGGCTGCAGCTCAGCCTCCCTGGCATTCAGAGGTGAAATGCAAAACAGTCATAAAAAAATGTATATCTCAGCTCTCACCTCAGATTGTCCACGAGCTGCAGAGCTGGTGCTGACAGGCACTGAGGCCAGCGCATGTCACGAGGATGCTCCAGGAATCCCTGCTCAAACAGACCGCGGAAGTCGTTTTCCTTCCATGGGAAAACTGCCTTCTCTTTTTTCCTGCTCCCCTGCCTTCCTCGAGCAGATCCATCAAGGCTGCTGGAGGGGACAGGATGCCAGACCAGATGGAGCTGCGTGTCCTGGCAAATCCCCCATTTGTTACTAACAAATGACTCCTAGGCCGAGTGTTTGAAAAGCTCTCACCGACCTGCCAAAATGAGTTTGGATTTGCCCTGGAACAGCTGGGCATGGCAAGGGAAGCAGGGAGCAACCCACTCTCCCCACACTGCAGCAGGGTTTGGCAGCACTGCCAGCAATTCATGGAGATTTACAGAAGCCCAACACCGGGATTGGATCAACCAGGGGAAGCGTTTCCAAGCCCTCTCATTTTACAAGAGCATGTAAGAGCTATGCACTGAGTAAGAGAGAGGTACAAGCAGTCAGCTGCTCCATGCAGCTCCGTGCCGGGGAGGAGGAGCCGCGCTGATCCGCATCCTGCGCCCATGCCCTGCTGCACCGACCCAGCCTTGGACAGGTTTCTTCCTCTCTCTTCTTTTTTGGCTGAGTTACCTTACTTGACTTGCTTCCACTGCTCCATGCCCATGCCAAGGATTTTCATTTCCCATCTGCAGGGAAGGAGGATCTTGGAAGGTTAGGAAGAGCCAATGTGAATATCCCCGGCCAACGCCTGGAGAGTGTGAAATGCTGGCACTGCTTTGTCGCTGTCGGCATCGCCCGGCTGACTGGTGGCACCTCCGTGCTGGAGGACCTGAGGACAAGCTGAAGGACCAAGGTCCTCCAAGGCTGGAGGACCAAAGGCTACCCAAACCTGGCCACAGAGCTGACCCTTTCCTGCTCCACTACACCTGGCTCAGCCTGTGGTTTCTCCAGCCAGGTGGGGCAGCCAGGACAGGTGTGTTGCAGAGGTCCTGCTGCTGGAATACAGCTGCTTTCCAAATTCCCTCACCCCTCAGCCATCTCCCAGGTGGACCTGGACACCACCATGTCCCCCTCCAGCCCCATCCAGGGAACATCTCCCAAACAGGCACCAGCAGTGCAAGCAACAGCCAGTCAGTTTCTCCACTGACAGCATTCCTTCAAAACCAGGATCAAGCCTTCAGCTCCAACAGTTCCTGCTCAATCCAATCTCCAGGCCAAGGTGAATGCCACAACTGTGACTTGAATTCCTGCTTCCACACCACAGCCTTGCACCTTTGCTGCCAGGGTGCATTTCTGTCTGTGAGCCAAATCCCTCTGTGTTCTTCATTTTTAAAAAGCTTTGGTCCCTCCTCTGGCATCTCACTCCTTGGGGCAGGGAAGGAGCCCCTCAGCCAGCTGCTACATTTAAGGCTTCCTATTGTACCTACCCCAGAAACCTCTTACCTCATCCTGGTGAACAAAAATCCAGAATATTCCTGTGGTCTGGAGCTGAGAAAAAGCCATAACCCTCTCCTCTGCCTAGAGTCAAAATGCTCCCAGGTGAGGAAGATAAGGCTGAGCTCCCACAAGATGCTGAGCCAAACCAACAGCCCAGCTCCCTTCTTCCCCCAGGCCCTTCCATGACTGCATTCCATTCATTCATCCCACAGAAATTTAGGAAGCTCCACTCTCAGTGGAGATGCTGATACCAAGACACCAAACAGGTCTGCTTCTGTTACATTGTCCAAAGCTGCCCAAATTTAAGTACCAAAACCTGATTTCCCAGTTTCTGCTGTGAAAGGTCAGTCGAGTCACTCTATTGTCTGCAACACAGGAAGTTTAGGAGACAGGAGAAAAAATTTATTCCCAACTACTCCACCCCACTGGCAGCCCATCATCATTTCAGTAAACCTGAGCTTGGAATAAAAGCCCAAAACCCAGAGCTGGTGTGGCAGAAGGAGAGGACAGAGCATAACCTGTCACATTGTTCAGGCTGGACAGGGCTTGGAGCAACCTGGTCTAGTGGAAGGCATGTTTCACACCATGGCAGGGCATGAAATGAGATGAACTTTAACTCCCAACCAGTCTGGGATTCTGTGATCACCAGTAAAGACAATCTCCAACAGGAGTTTTCCAAATAAAAGGCCAATTCAGAGAGAAACCCTGCTCACTCTCTTCCACAGACCTAGACTCAGACCCAGCCAGGAGTCTGACAAGGGATGTCCCTTCTTAAATTCAACAGCACTCATCTTTCTTATACTGGGGGTGTTAATAAGACAGGTGCTGGTACTCCAGGCTTTACACTGCCTCCACCTGGAGGCAAGTTGGCATTTAGAAGGTGGCTACAACAAACACAGTCCAGAGGCCAGACTGTCCCTCAAGAAGGAGCAAACCTACCCTTCTCCAATCCTGCAGATGACCAGGGAAACTCAAAAAGAGAGGGGTTATGCAATGAAATTACAGTGTGAAAAAAATTATTCAGCCTCCTTTCAGACCTTCTGCCACCTTGCAGTTGGCTGGCAAGAGGCAGGTGGGAGGCCAGTGGGCTCTGTGGGCTGCAAATAGCTGATGTGGCTCACCAAGAGCTGCTCCTCCCACTGCTTCGCTCCAACACCCCACGGACACGCTCTACGCAAGGTCTCCATGCAAGCACTGTCCCCCCCTGCCTGTCCCAGCTCTCCAGCTGGGCTTCAGTTTGCTGCTAACAGTTCTGGAAGATCCCAGCTGTGAGGAGATTAGGTGGGAGGGAAGAGAAAAGCAGATCTCAAGGCAGCTTAACACCCGCAGGAAGAGCTCGAGGTTAAATGAAGCTGGAAAAGGGAGCTGAGCACTAGGCTCCGCTAAAAACCAGCCACCAGACTCACCCTCCCGCCAGGGCCAGTGCTTTGAACACGTATTAAGTGGCTATCAGAGGTCCCCAACAGCCACCCAGCTCAAGCTGCAAGCAGGGATAATTGCTAATGAGTGTTCCCTACACTTTGTTTTCACCATCCCTCGTCTCCCATCACCAGCTTGTCACCACCAGGAATAGCAGCAGGGCTGCCAGCCTCCCGCTCCACAGCCCACAGCAAAAGAGCAAAGGAGGGGACGAGCCAGCTCGGAGCCAGCAGAGACACAAACCCACCTTCTCTGACATCTGAGAAAAAAAAATTCCCGTTACATTTTTCCCCCCACACCAATCTGTTACCTTTTTTTTTCTCCGATTTAGGTAAAGCCTGCAGCAGGATGCTGGGGCCTTGCAGGCTCACTCAGCATCCCTGGTACCAGCACAGCATTTGGGACCCTTTGCTCATCCTGATTCCATCTCCACTGGAGATAAAAACACGGAGAAGGGCCTTTCACAAGCCCCTCAATTGCTGCACCCCTCCCCAGTAAGCTGCACTGGCTTGAACCCAAGCGCCGTGACCCGAAGGCAGGGGAATGGAAAGAGCAGAAGGAAAATGTCCTGGGGGGAAGCCAAACCATCACTAACGAGATGAGCTCTGCTCCGGTGCATCCGAGGCAGGAACAAAGGCACTGCGTGCACGGAGCAGCGGCTCTGCACAGCACAAAGCCCGAGAGCGCTCCCGGCAGCTCCTTTAACGACCCTCCAGAAGCATTCCTGCTCTCATTAAGGCCTCGGGACACAAAGGGGTGGGAACAGTCCCGGTTTCACACACGCCAGCCTGTGGAGCCCTGCAGTGCAGCCTGAGCTCTGCTTTCCTCACCACGGAGCGCACATCCCGCTTAGCCGGAGCACGGCAGAGAACTGCACGCTGGAACCTGTGGTCCTTCCCCACTGCCACTCTCTCCATCTTACAGCTGCCAGGGGCACCAGCAGCGAGGAGGTGCTCGAGATGCTCTGCAAGGTTCATGATGGAAAGGGGTGAATCATTTTCCTGGCGTGGCTGCTCGGTGAACAACAGGGAAAACACGGCTCGCTCTGCCAGGCAGCGCCGGGCCAGGACACCCGCTC